AGACTCATGCCTGCACACTTGTGGTTGCTCCTCTCCAAAACTGTTTTCACCTCCCCTTGTCACTGCCCCCTTATCCTGCCTTTCAGATAAGCACCATTCCCTTGACCTATCCCATACCACCACCTCACTCTTCATCACGGCTCTGGGTCAGTGTCCTCTGTCACCCACTGTCATTTGTGATTATCTTTTGGCATACTCACTGGCCATCCATTTGAGTGATGAGCGCCATGAGGCAAGGCTCTGCTGTCCCATTCCCTCTGGTCTCCTGAGTCTGGTGTGGTCCTGATAGGCAGTGACGGCTAGTGATGCTGAGTGAATGAACACAGCCAGCCAGGAGACTGTAGCATCCACCCTGCCCTCTTTGCCTCCCTTACTCCCGCTGATGCCCTGTGTGTCTCTCTGCTGTGCTCCACCCTGCCCTTCCTGTAGAGTGGCTTGTTTCCTTGTTTCATCTGCAGGGACTCAGATGTTTGTATGCCTCACGTCCAGACAGTTGCTGTGTCTGGTTCAGTGTGGGCCACTTGTCCACTATGGCCTGTGGGCTTGTGACTGAAGCAGAGGGCGTTTGGAGGTGATGCAAACAGAGCTGTGTAACAGTTCTATTTTTCTTGCTGCAGTGGTGTTGATGTCGATGAGAACTAGGGCGCTGACAAACTTCTGACCAGGTGCTCCTATCACGTTGTGCTGGCTGTATCTGCAGTGTGGGCTCACTGCTCAGCTCTACAGAACATGGGGAAGAGGGTCCCTGAGACATCCACAGCCTGAGCAGGTGCCAGGCAAAGACTAGTCAGCTAACTGTGTTGGTCATTAGGCAGTTTGGTTACCATGGTAAACTTCACCAAGCAAGCAGAAACCAAAGTCCTCCACTCTCCTGATGCCAAAATTCTCCTGAGACAGATGACAAATATACTACAGATCAATCAAAAGGTCACATTACAGTGGAAATATGAGAACATTTCAGATGCTGAAAAAATTGAGATACACAAGTAAAAATATGAATATGAAATGATTCAGCTTCTATATAAAAATATCATAAGCTTTACACATCTAAAAATGAATTGGTATGTGAGGGGGCGAGGCTGTCATTTTAATCTGAATGACTCTGGAAGGATTCAGTGAGAAGGTGACACTTGCATGAGGACTTGAGGGTGCTGAGCCAGCAGAGATTCTGCCAGCCACTGTGAGTCCTGCCGGGCTTGAAACAAGGGCAGATAGCCTGCTACAAGGCGAAGAGGCCTCCAGAAACGTCCTGCTGCTTATGCCTATCACAGTGTTACAAGCATTTCCCCATTTCGTTTTGCTTTCGATGTACTGATTTAGGCTAGCTTAATTAAAACTGATTCTTGGGTTGCCTCAGAGAGAGCCAGGGTGCTGACTGGCCGTGGTGGCTCCTGTAGTGAGGCTGTGCTGCTAGATCTTCCACTTTTTCCACCAGCCTCATCTCTCGGGGATGCCTTTCAGGGCGCAGGCCCTGTACCCGAGCCCATCCTGCCACAAGCCGGCTCTCCTCATCATCATTTCTACCAGGACCTTTGAGTAGAAAAGATGAAAGAGCCCAGGATTGTATAGGGTGACTTGGACAGAACTAAACAGGGGACAAACATCCCTTACCGCTGGCTCTTTTCTGCTGGCCCTTTCTAATGGGTAGCCATCCGATTCAGCAAGCCATCTTTATGTAAGAATGGTACAGATCTGCCCAATGCTGGTACACATTCCTTTTTCTTTTAGGGGAATATACATCTCTCTGTCAGTAGCTGAAAGGATGCTTAGGTGGCTGTGAATAGGGGCTTTGGGGTGGGATAGACCAGCATCTGATCTAGTGCTTCCCACTTCTAGACCTGGCAGTTTCCTTAGATTCACAATCCTCGCTCCCACACATAAACAGGTAATGAATGCTGCCTGGGTCCTAGAGGTGCATGCACAGTGCCACTATGTGTCCAGTCCTGTGTAGGTCATGATGTCCAGTGGTTCAGTAGATGGCCCTAGTCAGCTGGATTTTATTAAAAGTGAATGATTTTAAAAATCAACCTTTTAAAAATTTTATCATATTTTTCCCTTTTCTGGCACTCTGTGATTCATATCCACATACATCCATTTGATAGTCATCTGCCAACTCTGCAAGGTCAGTGTGACCTGGGTGAATACTAACTAGGTCTGTTAGTCCGTACTTCTATAATTCTTACGAGTTTCTTTGTAGAACACAACGTGAGTCTCAAAACTTGGCTGTTTTATGATTAGTCGTGAATTGCCATTCCATTGTTTTAATTAGGCAACAAAAGCTTATGGCAAACACTCTCCTAGGACTGTTCGACGTGCGCTGTCACTGGCTGCTGGAGACACTGCTGATATTTATTGCCCGGGCTCTGCTGACTCCAGCAGCAGCAGCTTTTAGGAGGCGCCTTCTTTTCATGTCTCTTGCAGAGTTTGATAGTAGTTCTGCACAAGGCTCACTTTTGATCTTAAATGAGGCAATTCCGTTCATTCACTTCAGGGCTCCTTTTTACCATTTATCTTTTACTTTTTGATCTAAGTGATTGATAATGAGTGAAAAAATATTTATCACCTCAGAGAATAGTGCTGTTAGTATTCCTTCTGCCTCTGTTGTATGAAGAACCCAAGCACCATTATTCTCAGGCTGTCTGGGACAATGCGGATTTATTTATCTGCATCATGTATTAGTGGAGAAGTATATGTGACTGTGTGATTGTACTACTGATATGTATAAATGCATGGCCTTAGCTTTTAGAAAATGAGTCTACTTCAAGGAAAAGTTTTAATTGCTTTCTAGTTATAACCTTGTGCCTTAAGATGTGAAAAAAAATCCTATACATGGGACTTGAAGAAATAGTAAAATCTAGAACTTGGGGCTCATTTGTTTAGAATTATAAGTGCAACTATATTATTTATGTGCTTATACCATTTGGTATTAGGTTTTTTTTTTCCTGTTTTTATCAAAAGCATTATTCATGTAACATGTACAAACTTTCCTGTTTGTTTCTTGTTCAGTTCAGCTTAATAAAATGCTTGGAATGTGTTCAGTATTTGCGTGCACAGAAGTGCTGACATCACGGATGTGAGTAAAGTGAAGGCTTGGGAGCCTGAGACTATACAGGTGAGAAGAAAGTTATGGGAATGCAAGGGGCTATGTTAGAGACGGCAGCTACAGAGGAGACAGGCACAAGAGGAAGTCAGCGAAGTCTGATTCTGAAGAACCTTTTGTGCTGTGCTCTGGGACTGTGCTTTGTTAGGCAGTTGGGTACATTGTTGGAATTTGGGAGAAGGATGGATGGATGGATGAGAAAGATGTCTGAATAAGAAAACATTTCGGGTTTTTGGCAGTAGTTTGGGAAGAAAATGGGAAGGACTTAAGCTAGTGAAGAGAGGTTAAAAATAGAGAAAGATAGACGTAAGAGATAGGAGATTGAATCAAGTGTTGTGAAAAAACAAGCTATGGGCATAAAGATCTTGAGGAAAGCTACCAGCTTTCTAACTTGCCTGATCAGAAGGGGGCTAAAATGGAAGAGTGGGAAGTGGAACCCATCTTGTGAGGAGAATAATTAATTCAGTGTAGGACCTTCAGGGCAGCTAAGTGTCCAATTCAGCAGACAGTTGGGTACTCAAGTCTCAGCTTCATGGAAGGGATCAGAGTAGAAGGTACAAATTTTGGCATAAAGGTTATTTAAACATGTAAGAGACAGTCCCGTGCAAGGATGCTTGCATAGAAAGAATACGAGTCTGAGCTAGAACAATGAAACATCAGTGTATACGAGGGGGCTGACCGGAGGAACTGCCCCAGCGATACTCAGAGTGCATAGTCAGAGAACCTCTGAGAGGTTGTGAGCCCAAAGGAGCAGATTTCAGAGTACAGACTTGTAGCAGATTCTAAGCAGAATCACACAGTGAAATCAGGAACTGATGTCCACCACTGGCGTGGCCTCTTGCAGTTCCTTGGTTATCTTAATGAGAACAGTCATTGTGGCCCTCGGTGGTCAGTCAGCTTTTGTTAGTTTCAAGAATGCATCGCAGGTAAGTCTCACTGTCTTTGTCTGAGAGGGAGAGAATCTAGGGTGCTCTGAAGGAGCCAATGTTTCTGGGGAGCCATTCTTCCACACTACAATTGCATTTCCCAGTGTGCTTTCACCATTGCATCAAGCTGATTTTGAACCATTTACCACTACAAGAAGTAGGTCGTATTTCTATTTAGTTCAATATGTTTGTATTATTGCAAATGGAGGTTTTGTTTATGATAACCAGGAAAACCAGTGTGCTGTGCTCTGTGTAGACATTAATTTGTTTTAACATGTAATCCTGTTCACCTCACTGAACATTTAAATATTGCTAATCATTACTCTTCTTAAGAAAGCTATGTTTTGCTTTTTTTCAAAATAGTTTTCTTTCTAGTATACCCTCAAACGTGTTGCTTTATTCTTACCAGAGTTAGGAGTGCTACAACACAGATCTTTCCCCTTTAGAATGTCATACTACAGATTCTGACTCTCAGGGTGACATCTGAGCACCCTAGGGAGATGCTCAAGGTCCTGGTGATCTGACTCCCAGCTTCTCAGGTCAGCTCTGACTTCCTGCAGATCTTACCCTCTGGAGAGAAGATCCAGCTGCTTCATTTTTCTACCTTATCATCCATTTCCCTTAGCATTCATTCTTTCTGGTGTGCACACCCCTCTTCCTCAGTGCCTTCCTCTCTAGGTAGATGAGCACACCCTTACTGTTTCTTTAGGAGCCTGCCTGATTGCCATTGCTCATCAGGGCTCCCCATGCAAAGCTAGCCACTCCTTTCCCTCCTTGGTGATCTCCCTTCTATTTCTACTTGGAGATCATGCATGTGACATTACACTTGTACGTGTCCTTCTAGGTCCCCTCTGAGAGTCTGGTCTCTTGTCTGGCAAAGGACACCTGTGTGTACTGGCTCAATTTCTGGCCCTCATTCACATGCAGGAGCTAGCATTCTGGTGATGTTCAACTTGTCTTCTGCTTCTTCCCAGGAAAGCAGTTCAAGTGCACAGTGTGTGACTACACAGCAGCCCAGAAGCCCCAATTGCTGCGGCACATGGAACAGCATGCCTCCTTTAAGGTAAGAGGACTTGGGAGATGGAGATAGAGGTTCTGGCCAGAAATGTACTGCATTTTGGTATTCCTTTAACAGTTAGGCTCCTGAGCTGCTACACGTGGCTGCTGAGGCACATCATCTCAGTTTATTTTGTACTGTCTCTTTGTAGAGGTAGCATTCCTCTGTACTTTGCAGGTCAAGTTGTTATGACTGGTTTCTAGATATACCATGCCTCATACAGTCATAGGTGGGGTTTCTCAGAGAGGCTGTTTCTGGAGTGTGTGATGCTGGAATTGATTGATTTCATGGTGCAGTGGTAGGCTCAAAGCCACTAGGATGAAGGGTGTGAACACTGCCTGCCCAAAGTAGCTTGCTAAGATATGAGGGATAGAAAGAACTGTGGTCATCTCTGTTGCTTTGTTACCTTTTGTCTGCCATGAACTGTTTCTCTTTGTAGTGCCTTTCTGCCATGCCATCCTGCCTTGGCACCAGCTGATTATGAACTGAAGCCTCTACAAACTTTGAGCTAAATAAACCTTTCTTTAAGTGTTTGGTATTTTGTCTCAGAAACCAGAGAAAAGTAACTAAGACAGAATTTCATACCAGGGAAATAGGGTTGTTTGCTGTGACTAAGCTGACCGTGGAGTTTAGGAGCCATTGGAGCTAGCTTGTGGGAAGAGTGTGGAAAGGCTGGGAGATGCCTGCTGAAAAAATAGAATGTCTCAGGCTGTACTAGATGGGAAATTCTGGTCAGAGCTCAGAGGAGCAGAAGGCTGATACAAATCCTGCTACTGGATCAGGTTCAGGAGGTTTTTTCTGAGAAAGAGGATTGTATTGGCTGTTGGACTCCAGATGATGTTATGGCTTGACAGAAAATTTGCATTTTTCTGATGTCCAGAAACTTTGCCTAAGACTGAGATTATGGGTGCCAAACTAATTAACCCTGCAAAAGAAATTTCAAGGCAGTCTAATGTTGAGGCAGTGTTATGGCAACCATTGAATTTTTTTTTTTAACCAGAACTCGGGTTGAGAATCAAGAGCAAGGAGCCTAGCAGAATGATTCAAAATTGTTGTGAGTTTTGGTCAGAAAGGAAGCCCCAGTAAAGCTATGGACTTCTAAGAGCAGAAGAGGTCTTGGTTGCTGAGAAGAAGCACAAAAATAGAAAACATAGCATGATTCTATCACAAGAAGCATCAGAACCCCACCCTTTGCAGCCTCAAAACTGCAAAAATGAAAGAGTTTGTTTTGAGAAGAGAGTCCCAGAGCACTATGTTCCAGAATGTTGGCAGCCTATGAAAGTTGCCGCTGTTCACCCCTGTAGCCAAGAGAAAAGAAAGCCTAGCTACTGCTCCAGATGGTGCTAGATCTTGGCATTATCCAGGTGGCACTGGTTTTAGGTGCATTCAAGAGTTGTGGGATCAGGAAAACTTCCACTCAGATTTCAGAAGAGGGCCTGAGAAACCGGCAGTATGTCCCTGAGAGAACAGTGTGTGGTGCAAAAAGTACAGTGGAGACCCCAGAAGTTTGGAGATGCTAGGAAGGTCAGTCATCTGAGGGAAACTATAAGGCGAGAGCAGAACCAACCCAAGAGACAAGCTATGGGAGCTACAACTACCAGAACTGCTGTAAAGCTGGAGCCACCCAAGTCCTTTGGGGTTCACAGATTGCTGGGGATTTAATGTTTGCCCTGCTAGATGTTGGTCTTGCTTTGTTCTCATTCCTGTCTGTGTTCTGTTTGTAACTTTTGCAATGGAAATGTCGGTCTTGTGTCACTGAATATTGGAAGTGTTTACCTTTCTTTTCATTTGTACATGAGCCTGCAGCTAAGAGTTTGACTTGTATTTCAGAGGCGATGTTGGACTTAGACTTTTCAGCAATGCTGAAACTATTAGGACTTTGGCAACTCTTGGAGGCAGACTAAATGCCTTTTGCATAAAAGGATATGCCTGAGTCTTTGGGAGGCCAGGAGTGGAATGTTATTTCTTGTGTCTAAATGTCCCCACCAAAGCCTCACACGTCATAGGTGGAGCTTTTTCAGAGGTGGTTGCATCTTGAATGTGTGACAGTGGGATTGACTCATGGAGCAGTGCTAAGCTCAAGAGAACTTGGATAAAGGTGTGAGTGCTACCTGCTTTAAATAGTCTGAGTAAGATACAGGTTTAGGAAGAACTGTGATTATCCTCTGCTTGGTTGCTTTTGTTTTTTTCTGCTTGCCATGAAGCATGGTTCTACTTTGTAATGCCCCCTGCCAAAACTGAGCTAAATAAAGCTTTTCACCCCTTTAACTTTGGGTGTTGGGTATTTTGCCTCAGCAATGAGAGAAACATAACTAAGACATAGTTAAAGAATGGTATATAAGAGGATGTAGACAATGTCAAGACATAAACAGCCTAGAGTGGTATGGAGAAAATCATGTAGGCTATAGGAACATGTATTTGTGTCTTTAATACTAGGTTACCATAAGCAAACCACTTTTTGAGTAGTTATGAGGAAGCCCATGTGATGGGCTGCAGGATGCCTACCCCAGTGCCTAGTGCATGGCAGGGGCTCAGGAGATGGTGGCACTTTGTTTCTCTTAATGCCTGTAAATGGTATTTCTTGGATGTGGGTAGTAATATCTGCTTAGAATTTACTTTGGATGCAATTATTTGAACAGAAGAATTGTAGTCAGGCAGTTTGTTCAATAAAAAAGTTCTGTTCATTACTTGGTATAATTTGACCTTTAGAATGACTATTGCTGCTAGTATATACATATGGAAATGAAGTCAAGATTTACGGACATGTTGTTCTAAAATGTTTACCTGAAATTATGTCTATCACAAAATCCCAGAGAATCATGGACTTGGAAGGAACTCTTGGGCATCACATTAATAGCTTGCATTGATTGAAAATCTGTGATGCGCTGGCAGTGCATCTAACAGTTCAGATCTTCCCTTCGGTAGTCACTGCTCCCTTTTTGACAGTAAAAGAACCTTAGTCTCAGGAACCAATTGATCACATCTATATTCTTGGATTTCAGTCACACTGTCATACTGATCTGATGCATAGAGACTTCCTTGAACTGCAAGCTTGTTTTGTGCTCAGGATAGCTTCTGGGAAATGAATTCCCATGATTTCTGATAGTTGAGAAAGCCAAATAGCTTAGAGGGTCAAGGGCTCATAAGCTATCAATTCCAAGAAGTGAAGGAGCTACAACTTGAACTTTATCCTCTCTCTGTTGGTTCTGTGCTTTTCACATTATGTCTTCCCAATTATTTGTGGGCAAAAAAGGAGCAATAGGAAAAATTAAGGCTGTGGCAACCTTTTTCTTATGTACCTGCTTTCTACATCTATATTAAACAGAAGCCTTTTAATGTGATCTGATCCCATTTGTTGATTCTTGGTATCATTTCTTATGCAATTGGGATTCTGTTCAGAAAGCTTTGCCTGTATCTGTCTTGAAGAGCTTTACTTATTTCATCTTCCAGCTGATTAAGTGTTTTTATTCACAGGTTTGGATTTTTGATTCCTTTCTCATTTTAGTTTAGTGTGTGGTGAAAGATACAGTTCTAAGTTTGATCTTCTACATGTCCCAACATCATTTGTTAGAGACATTAACTTTTCTCCAGCAAAAATATTTGACCTGTTTGTCAAAATAAGTTAGATGCTTGTGCCCATATAGTTATTTCTGAATCTTCTGTTATATTAATCTGCCAATCTGTTTTCTTTTTCTTTTTCCAATATTATCACTGTAGCTTTGTAGTACAAATAAGTCTGGGATTGTGATTACGCCTGCCTTGCTCATGTGACCCAAAATTACTTTTGCTATTCTAGGTCTCTTTTGGTTCTATATGAATTTTAGGAGTACTTTTTCCAGTTTTATAAGAAATGCTATTGGAATTTTGACTTGGATTGCATTACATTTCTATAATAGTTTTAGAAGTATGATAATTTTGACTGTATAGGATCTGCTAACCCAAGAACAGAAGGTATCTTTCCAGTGTTCAGTATCCTCTTCAGTCTCCTTTTTCAGATACCGTATTTCATTGTAGAGGTCTTTCACTTCCTTGGTTGTTCCATGCATTTTTTTTCCTTGATGCTATTGTGAAAGGTGTTGTTTGTTTAATTTCTGTTTTGGTGAGCTTGTTATTGATGTACAGGAATACTATTAATTTTAGAGTGTTCACTTTGTATCCTGCTACACTACTAGTTATTAACTCCAAAATTCTTTTGGGTGGAGTTTTTGTGGTTTGTGATGTAGAAGAGCATGCCACCTGCTAATTATGATAATTTAACTTCTTTCCTATCTGTAGTCCTTTTATTTCTTTCTCTTGTCTAACTGCTCTTGTTAAAGTTTTGAGAGCTACACTGGGCATGAGTGATGATAGCAGACATCCTTGTGTTGTTCTTAGTTTACAGGGGGAGCTTTCAGCTTCTCTCCATTTTGTATGATGTTGGCCATTGATTTGCCATAGTTGGCTTTCATCAGATTAAGATAAAGACCTTCTATTTCGATTTGCTTCAGGTTTTTTTTTTTTTTTTTTTTTTTTTTGGTACTGAGAATTGAACTCAGGACCTTGCACTTGCCAGGCAGGCAGTGAGCTATTTCCTGGCCTTCTTCAGGTATTTATCATGGATGAGTATTGGATTTTTTCAAATATTTTTTCTGTGTCTATTAAGATGATCATGTGATTTTTATTCTTGCTTCTGTTTATATGGCATATTACATTTATTGATTTGCATGTGTTGAACCATATCTGTATCCTCCCTTCGAATGCATCCTACGTGGTCATAATTTATGATTGTTTTGATGATTTGCTGTGTTTTGTTTGCCAGTGTCTTACTGAGGATTTTTGCATCTGTGTTCACTAAGGAGGCTTGTAGTTCTTTTCTTTTGGTTGAGTTCTTTTCTGTTTTTGGAATCAGGGTAATCTTTGCTATCCAGATTGACTTTAAGAGTACTTCTTTTTCAATTTTTTAAAAGGGTTTGAGGAGTATTAGTATTGGGTTTTCTGTGAAGTTGTTGAATTCAGCAGTAAATCTG